GACATAGGAGGGCATTATATAATGATAAAAGGAATTGATCCATCAATACACGCACACACATATACATGTGTATATACACATATATATATAAAACATCTTGTTTATCCATTCATTAATCAATGGATACTTGAACTGCTTCAATAATTTGGCTCTTGTAAATAATGCTGCAATAAACATAGTGTTTTGAATCAGTGTTTTCATATTCTTTGGGTAAATACCAAGTAGTGGAATTACTGGATCATAGCATAGTTGTATTTTTTATTTTTTTGAGGAACCTCCATACTGTTTTCCATAGTAGCTACACCAGTTTGCATTCTCACCAACAGTGCACAAGGGTCCCTATTTCTCCATATCCTTGTCGATTGTTGTTGTTTCTTGTGTTTTTTATTTTAGCCATTCTGATAGATGTGAGGTGATATCTCATTGTGGTTTTGATTTGCATTTCCCTGATGATAAGTGATGTTGAGCATCTTTTCATGTGTCTGTTGGTAGTATCTATGTCTTTGGCAAAATGTTTATCCAAGTTCTCTGCCCACTTCTTCATCAGATTGTTTGTGTGTGTGTGTGTGTGTGTGTGTTGAGTTGTATAAGTTCTTTTTTTTAAAGATTTATTTATTTATTTATTTATTTCTTCGTAAGAGACAGAGAGAGAGAGAGAGGCAGAGGGAAAAGCAGGCTCCCCGCTGAGCAGGGAGCCCGATGCGGGACTCGATCCCAGGATCCTGGGATCACAACCTGAGCCGAAGGCAGACGCTTAACCATCTGAGCCACCCAGGCGCCCCGAGTTGTATAAGTTCTTTATAATATTTTGGATATTAACCTCTTATCAGATATATCATTTGCAAATATCTTCTCCCATTCAGTAGGTTTTGTTTTGTTGATTGTTTCCTGTGCTGTGCAGAAGCTTTTTTTCGTTAAGTCATCTCCACAGCCAACATGGGGGCTTGAACTCGTGACCCTGAGATTAAGAGTCACACACTCCACCAACTGAGCCAACAAGGCACCCCTGTGCAATAGCTCATTTTTATTTTTTTACACTGCTTTTTAAAAATTTTTATTTTAATTCCAGTATAGTTAATATAGAGTGTTATATTAGTTTCAGGTGTACAACATAGTGATTCAACACTTCCATACAACACCCAGTGCTCCTCACAAGTGCTCCTCTTAATCCCCATCACCTATTTCACTCATCCCCCACCCGCCTCCCCTCTGGTAACCATTGGTTTGTTCCCAATAGTTAAGCGTGTTTCCTGGCTTGTCTCTCTCTGTTTTGTTTTCCTTTGCTTGTTCGTTTTGTTTCTTAAATTCCACATATGAGTGAAATCATATGGTATTTGTCTTTCTCTGACTGACTCATTTCACTTAGCATTATACTTTCTAGCTGCATCCGTGTTGTTCCAGATGGGAACCTTTTTATCTTGATGTAGTCCCAATAGTTTATTCTTGCTTTTGTTTCCCTTGTTTTGGGAGACATATCTAGAAAAATATTACTATGGCCAATGTCAGAGAAATTACTGCCTGTGCTCTCTTCCAGGATGTTTATGGTTTCAGGTCTCACAGTTAGGTCTTTAATCCATTTTGAGTTTATTTTTGTGTATGGTATAAGGAAGTGATCCAGTTTCATTCTTTTGCATGCGTACCCTGGTTTCTTAATTACCCTTTATGTCTTGGCTTCACCAAATATTAATATTTTGAGGAATATTAATACTTTCTCTTAACTCTCTTGTACCACAAGGTCCATGTCTACTAGATGAGAAGTTTTAGCTAGCTAAAATATTCTTTATACATCCCAAACAAGTATGGCTTTAGTGAATAATGTCCTTTGAGTTCCATTTTTTTCTTTAAACGTTTACTATAATTTTCCTAATACATTTAAAACTTTTTCCTCCTTCATGTGGAAATTGATTTCCCATCTACTAAACTCTCCTTTTTCAAAAGTGCTCATTTCTAGTAACAAAGACAGGAATTCTATAAATAGCCACACCCTTTTTGCAAAACATTATTATGCCACAAGGAAGACTTTTTGAAAATCCACTGTAAGGAAAAATAAAATCAATTTTAGAGAGTTGCTATAAGTTTTCTTTTAATAGTTAAGGGTGAGCAGAACAAATTCTTATTATCTTCCCATATAATGTGTCCCATTGTATAAAAGTGTAATGTGGTGCTCACTTCAGCGGAACGTATACTGAAATCGGAATGATACAGAGATTAGCATGGCCCCTGCCTAAGGATGACATGCGAATTTGTGAAGAGTTCCATCTTTTTGTACACTGTGAAATATTTCACTCCAGCCTGCTTATTTCATGTTTATTCTGGGCTGAAAAAGACTTTGCCAAAACATGAAAGACCATTCTTTTCACTAAAGAAAGAAAAAAGTATAATGTGTAACATTGTACAAGAATTGGTATTTTGAAAAATAGGGGTGCCCAGATGGCTCAGTTGGTTAAGTGTCCGACCCCTGATTTTGGCTCAGGTCATAATCTCAGGGTCGTTCCATGCTGAGTGTGGAGACTGCTTAAGATTCTCTTCCCTCTCTCTCCCTCTTTCTCTGCCCCTCCCAACACCCCCGTTCCCCGCTCACACTTGCTCTCTCTAAAGAAAAAAAATAGATTAAATCACAGAACTTGGCTAATATGACTCTCTAAAATATTTATCATAAGTCTACATCTTGCCCTATGAATGGCTTTCTACTACTAAAGTGTTTAGTTTTGAAGGGTTTGGTTTAGAAATATTCATCCAATGTGAATGATTAAAACAAAACAAAACTCATTAAAAGACCCGAACTCTGGTCCTCATTCTGCCATATGCTATGAGATCTTAGCTAAGACACTTTCCCTGGGCCTTTGTTTCCACATCTGAAAAGTGAAGAATCTAAATTAGATGCCCCGTTAATGGCTTATCCTCCTATAACTCTATGTCAAATAGTTCTTGGACTATTCTTCAGAAGTCTCAAATTGTTAGAACTAATTTCTGATTTACAGATGAAGAAACTGGGATTCAAATAACCTAAACAACTTGCCCAAAGTCAGAAAGCTAAACCATGGACTGGCAGATCCCTCACTCAGATTTTTCTGATTCTAAAGCTCGTGCTTTTAGTTCTACCTCCAATGCAATTCTCCCCTTTCAGAAGTCCCAGAGGAAAAGAACCTCTGGTTTCTATAATGTTAGCATGAAATCTATACCCTGTAGAAGAGCCTCCTTGGAGAAAGTACTGGACTGCTTAAGCATCGGCCTCTATACCTTGTCCTTCAATTAACTGAGACAGTGGTTTTCACACTGGGGTCCCTGGACCAGAAGCATCAAAAATGCCAAAAACTTGCCAAAAATGTGAATTCTCAGACCCCATCCTATACATCAGAGACTGAACCAGAAACTCTGGGAATGGAACCCAGCAATCTGTGTTTTAACAAGCCCTCCCAGTGATTCTGTTACACATGGCAGTTTGAGAACCACTGCACTAAGATATGACCTTGGGAAATGCATGCAAGAACTCTGAGCTCCAGCTGCTAGCTCTGAAATCCTAGGGTCTTCCTAAGACCTAACTTCTGAATTAACAGGGGGATAGATCATATTCATACCCCTAATTTTAAGAACTGATACCCAATAAAGTGAAGGAGAAGGCAGATGAGGAAGATGAAGAGAACAGCTTTTCATATATCCCCCAATTAGCCAGAGAAGCAACTGTTGTTCTGATGATGTATGGCAGTGATGCCTTTGACATCCCAAATTAGAACAACTCTTTTGGAGTCACTCTGAATGCAACTAGCTCTTTGGGAATTTAAAAATGTATTAGGCAACTTGGAACTCGGCTCAAAGAAAGAATCAATTAAAAATATGCATTCTGTTTCTTTAGCCCTGCTTTAAGTCATTCAGGAGACAGTTTCTGGGAATGGAGTCTAATAGATCTGTTTTGCAAACTGCAGCAAAGTAATATCTCACTTCCCAGGAGTTAGGCCCCCTCCCCCCAGGAGATGACATGTATCTCGGGATCCATTTCAACCAGAGATGACATAACCAGCCTTCCAGGTAGCTTCAGGAACTCATGTTTCCCAAGCTTAGCAATGACTCAGCGGATGGCAAGGGAGTATGAATGGCCTTAAGTACCATACTGGCGCCAAGGGTCATATTTTCATTATTTATTAAACATTTTTCTGGCCCATCGCCTAAGTCCCTCTGTTCTTACATAGTGCACAACTTGGGTCAGAAATCTCTTCATTAGGCCTACTCCTGAGGCTAGAAAGATGCCATTTTTCACTTGCATGATCAAAACTATCCGTTCATTATCAGAATGCCTGTCAAATGAGAGTTGACTGAAGGAGTGACATTTTATTTATTTTTTATTTTATTTTAATTTTTATTTTCTACAGGGGAGAGGGTAGAGGGAGAGGGAAAGAGAGAATCTTAAGCAGGCTCCACAACCAGCACAGAGACCTCCACAGGGCTCAATCTCATGACCCTCAGATCACGACCTGAGCCGAAATCAAGAGTCAGATGCTTAACTGACTGAGCTACCTGGGTGCCCCTAAACTCATACTTTTTGTTGATTTGTACTATCAAATATTTTAGACATATAAAATCACCTATGGATATGTCATTCATATATCTTTAATGTGTATAAAATAGAAATGTCATAAAGACTATCATAAAATAAACACTCATGTATCTTTAACCCAGTCTGTGTCTTGTTTCTTCACTGTATCTTTGACCCACAAATAACCACTGTCCTGAATTTTTTGTTTAGCTTTTCCTTGCTTTTCTTTATGGCTTTATTACATGTCTTTGTATATGTATATACAAAATATATTATTAACCTTGTTTTTAAACATTATATGTAAGGTATTATACTGAAAGTATTCTTCTGCAATATGCTTTTCTTTAATTTTTTTTTTTTTAAAGATTTTATTTATTTATTTGACAGAGAGAGATAGCGAGAGCAGGAACACAAGCAGGGGGAGTGGGAGAGGGAGAAGCAGGCTTCCCGCGGAGCAGGGAGCCCGATGCAGGGCTTGATCCCAGGACCCCGAGATCATGACCTGAGCTGAAGGCAGACGCTCAACGACTGAGCCACCCAGGTGCCCCGCTTTTTTAAAATTTAATATTATGCTCTTGGATTTATCTGTTTTGTCACATAGAGCTATAATTCATTCATTTTCTCTGCTGTATTGTGTCCCATCATATGAACATACTATAATCTACTGCCCATTCTATCAATAGACATGTGGATTGTTTCCAGTTTTTGATCATCACAGTGCTACCATGAACATTCTTATACATTCTCTTGATCACATGTATGTTTCTCTAGGTACATACTACCTAGAAGTAAACTGCTGAGTTTTAGGGTATGCACATGTTCACCTTGATAAGACAATGCTAAATTGTTTTCTGAAGAGTTCGGACCTCTTTACACTGCTACCAGCAATAGTTAAGCATTTGTATATCCCAACGTTTGATATTGTCACGCTTTTTCATTTCATTTGCTAGTTTGGTGGATGGAAAACAGTAGCCTATAGTTTCAATTTGTAGCTTCTCCATAATTGATTTGGTTGAATATCTTGTCATAGTTTTATTGGCTTTTCTGATTTCCTCATCTATGAAATATATCCTTGGCTCACAAATCCTCTCTTTATCTTTACTCTCTCAACCCTCCTATTTCCACAGTGTGAATGAGGAATTGCAGATACATGAGATGTGGTGAAGCAAATGAGGAGGAATGGGGCATAATGTGTGTCCCAAGAAGAGGAGACACCATGTTTAAAAGCCAAGAAGTCAATGAGAATGTGGTGTGTTCAAGAATCCAACTGAATCCCACGCAACACAGTGATGAAAGGGAAGCTTTGACTTTAAGGTGAAAGAGTTCTGAAACTGAAGCACATTTCAAGACAGACCACCCTGTAGTAATTTCCAAGTCAATATCCAGACATTGGTTATATGACTCGGGAATCCCTTAGCCACATAAGGACATAAAACAGTTGAGAGAGCGGAAACACAAGAATGATTTGTGGAGATGATTTTTTGGAGGGAGAACTGTTTCGTTCAACTCATCCAAAAGGCGGGGCGGGCAGGTACTATGCTACCCTTTCACCTCAAGATTGGAGAGAAGGACTTCAGTTGGACCAGGAGGAGAATTTGATATGTATCCTGAGGGACATGGCATTTGGAGGACATGGTAGATGATGTCAAGTCATGCTTTAAAAAGTGCACAGGTGAAATGATTGTAGTTGTCCACGGTTACACAGTAGGAGAGAGGCCAGAAGTGGGAACAGCTTGACTTCTACATTTGGTGTGGCATCTTTCCATAATACTGGCCAGGGGAAAAAAAACTTGAATCCTCTCCTCACCTCTCTTTCCTTGCTTCAACCGCCTGGTGGAGTCAGATTGAGCACAATGCAGGGGGTGGAGGAGGCAGGAGTACCGTGTAGGAGAGAAAGCACCATGACCTAGCCCCTTCCTCCACACAAACAGCCAGCCCACATGGGGCTCCAGCCTGGGGATGAGCACAATTTCATTTTAAGTTGAATTTGGTGTTTTCCGTGTTATATGGGACTAGATATTTTGAAATGTTGAACGGAGAATGTGTTTGACGCTGGAAGTTGACCATAATCTTTTCTATTACCCAGTAGGAAACCAAAAAGTCATTGCAACTGCTGACATCTTCATCCAAGCGTGAAAAAAAGAGACAGGAAAGGTTAAAGGAACAGTGGGAGACAGATACAAAGTTGTTTCCTGATAAAGTTCTACGAGTTCTGATTTTCTTTCTTTCTTTCTTTTTTTAAGATTTTATTTATTTATCTGACAGAGAGAGACAGCAAGAGAGGGAACACAAGCAGGGGGAGTGGGAGAGGGAGAAGCAGGCTTCCCGCGGAGCAAGGAGCCCAATGCGGGGCTCGATCCCAGGACCCTGGGACCACGACCTGAGCTGAAGGCAGACGCTTAATGACTGAGCCACCCAGGCTCCCTGAGTTCTGATTTTCAAAATCAATGTAATTAGAGAGTGGCAAGAGAAGAGATTGTAGAGAAGGTGGCCAGATGAATGAGTCACATGGGGATTTGGGACCCAAGGCCCTTGAAAGCCATTGAAGAGTTCTACATAGGGGAATTTTGTGATCAAAATTGTGCTTAAAAAAAAAAAAAAAGCCTCTAGTTCAGGGTATATGATGATTTGAAGGGCAGTAGAGGTCGGGTTTCCCCAAAGGAGGCCCTCATTTAGGTGAAATATGATAGTGGCTGGAGTCCAAATTAGTGGCAGAGAAGATAAAAAGAAATGG